ATTTTTAAGAAATCACCTTGACACCCAGGCTGTCGGTATGCGCCCTTGCTTCTCCCATCGCGCCCGTCACCGGCAGCGTCCCCCGCGTTTTGCCTCAACCTGCGTTTCACGTTCCCTGCTCGGCCCTTGGGAAGCTCATTGCTCCCCACCTCCCGCCTTATCGCAGGCGCTCGTCAGAGGGGCGAAGAATACAACGCATTATTCTACACCGGCTGCCTAAATGCTTTTCAAATTACTCACAAACTATAACCCTGTTCATGAACCCAGTCCCTTCTTGTCGATGTAAGAATCATTCTCTCACCACTTGTTGCCCTATACAGAGCTTATAACAGTACCTGCACATAAGCCCAGAAACCAAAAGCTTTGTGAAGGAAATATAGCTGAGGAACACAAGTATACAGCTGTAGGTGACAAAGTTTCAACCTTTTAATTTTCACACTGACTGGTTTGGCGCTGCTGGGCAAGTAATTTCTGTGCTTCTTACTTCTTTAACCAAAAAGAATAGTATCATGAAATTACTGAGCACGTGATTGTGACTGTTAGGCTCAAGCAAGCTTTATCAAAGTATTTTTACTGTTTGAAGATGGAAAGTGCGATAATATTCTAGTAAAGAACAATAAATTTTAAAAACTATTATTCTGTTTTACCTACATGCTCCCACATCCTTCTCTGCAAGATTACAGTCTGTAAAAGTATGGTAGAATGTGTACTTATAAATAGAAAATATGCAACAATGACATCAGGGTATATAATAAGAAAATCAGCTTTTTAAATATCCAAGCAAAAAATATATATACTGTGAATAGCAGCAATTTTTTAGTTTTATGAGATACTCCAAAATACAATGCATTTCAGGATGGGAACTGTAATGTTTAGAGTTTGTAATCTACGTCAGCAACAGTGCTTCATCTCCTGTCCCAGAATCACCAGTGTCTTTCAAAAGTAGAGTAGTTCTGCTCCATGAGATTGGTTTTGGTAGGTTTTATACCCTTTGTTTCTAAATTTATTTGTTTAAAGGTTATGAAGGGACGTAGTAATTTCATACACTTGTAGGCAAAAGGAGTATTTTAATTAAAAACCTATGAGGGGTTTTGTGAATCACATCCTTTTAGCCTTCAAAAGTAGGAATAGAAGGAAACTACAAGAGACTGCCCCTTACCAAATACCAAGAGATATGTTAAGTAACAGTATCACATCATATATATAATGACAAATAATGTACTTTAAAATTTCTGTGCTGTAGTACTGATAGGCCATGAAACTCAGATATGGTTTTCAAATTCTACTGGTCTGGAAACAAATGTTGATCTTCAAGTTTTTGTACTCATCACAAAAAATATCCCCATTTTGGGAAAACCAACAGATGAGTGGCCCAAAAAAGGGCCCAGGCTGCAGCAGTTACTGTGAATGTCATAACTCAGGATTGCAGTCATTGGCAGGGCTGTTTGGGGAAGCTTGCATAACATCTGCTTGCAACATGCCTGATTCAAACCAGCACTCTTCCTCTCATGAACACTGATGATTTTAAAAAGTAAAATAAACTCAGTCAATATGCAAGCAAAATTGTTTTCCTGGGTGCCTCTCCAGTTCTGCTTGAAATAACAGAAATTCCCCAACTCAAAAACTATTTATTCTATATTTGCTAGATATTTATACCACAATTGTATCCTTTTTTTTTTTTTTGTGTGTGTGTGTTCTGATCTTGTTCCTGTGAGCCATACCCAGAGAGCACTCTTTATGATACTGTGGAGAGATTGATGTAGTTAAAAATCCCTGATCTCTTCTTTGAACATCTGTAGTGCTTCATTCTCATTGTGTTAGCATAATAGGAAACATGGAAAGACATGCTTCATTTTGGGTGTTAACTCCCTGTGTTGTTTTTCGCAGATGGTTTTGTTTACAGGTTTCTTAGTTGTCTTGTTCCTCTTAGAAGGTGTGGCTGGTTATTTTGACTCAAATAGCTTATGGCTTTATAGCTTCCATGTCAGCCTCATCACCATTTTTAGTACTGACAATATAAATAAATCAGTCATAAGTTACAAGGTTTGCTTGGTAGCTTTGATTGAATTTTTTTTTTAATGCAGAGAACATGTTAACATAGGATTAATATTTTATATCACACATACTTAGAGACTTAAATGTGGTTTTACAATGAAAGATGAATTACTGTAGAAAGGGATTTAGAATAATTTCACTAATCCAATAATTTACCTGTTCCCATTTTTTCTATCTGTTGTTGGTTCAAGTGTCATATGAAGACAGAACAGCATTAGAAACCTATTTAGATTCCCTTCAGCACTTTACGTGCAGGAGATGATTGGGGGGAAAAAAAAGTAAGAACTCTGGGTAGTGAGAGACAAAAATGAAAAAAATTAGGGGGGGAAGGACTGAAGCCACATTCCACTCTGTATTACTTTAAAAAAAAAAAAATTGTAGAGCTCATCCAGTTTCAAGATGTCTAAATGCTTCTACAAATAAATGCCATTGGGAAGGACCATATTTCAAATAAAACCAGTTTATAATGAATGCTGAAGCTTACAGCAGTGTTCAATGTCCTTTTACCTCCAGTTGTTCAGAAAAGAGATTAAGGTATCTGAAAAATGTATTAAGAAGAAACCACACCATCTGCCAAGGCAGGTACACTACTAGGAAACTGGTAAAATATGAAAAATTACTTGAGCAAAAGAGATGGGGAATGAAGCCATATCAGGACATCATGATGTAAAAAGACGTTTAAAAATTACCCTGTATGGAAAACCTTGTTTGCTACATGAATGATATTTAAGGACACAAGAAATATTTGGAGATGGATGATTTTGTTGTCACATGTCCCTATTTTACCAGGAAATCAGGAATTAGAACAAAAGAAAAAGTCCTTCATCCCTTATTCAGAACTTTTGCAGAGTCTCTTTCTTGTAAGGACCAGAGGGCTCTATTCAGTGAATTACCATTTGCTTCAATCATAGGCAATTTACCAGAGATTACTTTGCAATATCTCTGAATAGCAGCAACATTCCAAAGAATGGAAATCAAATCATCTTTTCAGGCCTCTATTTATAAGCTCATATGTGTGCCTCTCAATCATGCTGTCAACTCCTCCTGGTTTCAGTTGAATCTTGAAATAAAAAAAGATTCACAAGAGATCTTGCTTTTGTACACGCACCCTAAGCTTTTTCCTGAGGGGCATGTTAGGAAATTAAGATTGTGTGGTTACTCCTTTGAGAACTGTCCATATGAAGATAGGTCCATGGGATATAAGTTTGGAAACTTCAAATAAGCAGTGTCCAGGAATCAGGATTGGTACTACCTTGAACTGGAACAGAGAACATGATGCAATCACTCCACATTGCAGGCATTTTGCTATGTTATTATAGAAGGCTCATTATTTGAAGACTACCATTGTCATTTAAAAGTGGGTAATAGTTATGATTTCAAATTAAATACTCAATGTCCAGTGCCATTATCAGTGCACCTATCTGGAGACTGGTTTCCACACTAGATAATATCAGTGCAACTTGAAGAGGGATCAGAGAGTAGGTTTCTCAGATAACATTAAAAGGGAGTGGTAAAACTTCCCTCATAATATTTCAAAACCATCTTGCCATCACATCTGGCCATTAGTTTCCATAATATTTTTCCTGTTGAGCTAAGGTCACAGCAGATAGTTTTTCTAACAATAATAATTGTGTGAAACTCATAGGCTGATGATATTGCAGACAGTCATCTGCAGGGTATGTTTTGCACTATCATTCAGGCTGTAAATTACTTCCATCTTGGACAAAAGTGGCAAATCATCTCACTTTGGTGATTATGATCATTAATCATATGAAAGTAGCACCACCAGCCTGTTACTATGCTGGGTGATGTATAGCTCTGTAGTAAAAACCAGACTCTGTCCTAAAATGCTCACAATAAAAATAGGCATTTATGAACACGTGTGTAGATAAGCTTCAGCACCAGACAAATGCATAATGGCTTGATTAGGATCACATGGCAAGTCCATCAAAAACATTATTGGTTCATAAATCTCTCTAGTCCTCACACGCAATCTTAGGTTTCAAAGTGTGTTTTTTTTTGTTACAGGTCCAAGAACAAGCTCATAAAATACACTACCATGTCATCATTGTAGTTTCACTTAAAAGTGTCTTTGAGAATTCACAATACATTATTTCCAAATGTGTGTTATCTGTTACAAACAGTTGCTCAGGCTGCCTTGAATTTTTCATGGGCTTATGCATTTCACACTTATTTTAAAATTGAAGCTATATTCAATTTTCTTGTGTACTTAGAGTCCAAGAGTCCAGCAATGTGTGGATACTTCTTTCAATGCATGATTGTCATGAATGCTGATTCACCCACAAAACAATGACTTGCTTTTCCAGTGCATAGCTGACTTCCTAGAAACACTGGTTCCTTAAGCTACTCCCCTCTGTGTGGCAGCCTAGAAGGTTTAACATTCCTTCAAGGACCATTCATCCTATGCAGAGGAATGTGCTGTCTTAGTCAGTGGAATTGCCATTTGCAGGATAACCAGACCCTGTTCTCCTATTTATTTTGCAGTCCCAGTTCCTCACAGTGTGTTCCTACTCTGTGTGCACACACTTTGAAAAGGCTTCAGGCAACAGCTCCTCTCTCAAGTTAAGGTCAATCAATACGGCTGATGTTTAATTATAGGTAGCTGACAGTATCCTCTGGCATAGGCTAACCTTGTTAAATATAAGGTTTAAAAATATCCCTTCAAAATTAATTTTCTGCTTGTTTTTAGATGTCCTGAGTGTGCTGGTTCTTCTGTGACCTTGACAGGTCTGTCTGTGACAGCTAAAACCCTGCTTTACTTTCTCAACACTGAGATTCACTCCTACATTATAAAACAAGTCTGGGGGTTGTCACTGTCTTCCACGCCACTGCATCTGATCTCTCCTGACAAAGGGGCATGAGATGGTTGTATTCATCTCGTGAATACCCTGTTAAAGGTTTTTCAGCAGACACAGTCTGGGCTGTTTGCATCTATTCACCACACGGTAAGAAAAGGACCATTTGCTTCTGTTCATCTAGTGTACTGCCAGAGAATCAGCTGTATTAAATGCACAGAGTCTAAAAGGATTTTAGTGATGTCTTGATTGTAACAACATTCTAACTTGAAAATTTCCAGCTTTAAAGAAATTTGTTTACATTATACAAGAGTTGCAGTTCTTTCTTAAGATTTTTGTTACTCCTGTGCTTTGTCAAATGTTTGACTCCTAAGGGAGGACAGCACTACTTAGAAGAGCTTTTAAGAAACCAAATTCACTAGGACACTGCGTCTTACTGTAGTAGGTCAGCATGTCTCCAGCTGTACTCTGATTTCCAGTAATAGACCTAATCTTCTAAATCAATAAGTGATCCAGTAATAGACCTAATCTTCTAAATCAATAAGTGATTGCAGCCAGGACAGCTGCACCATTACACCAGGTAAGTCCCACCTCACCTCCTTCTATGCTTACCTTTGGGTCTGTCAAATTGTTGCTGAAAGGGCCCCCAGGAAAGGGTTAAGCATATTAATGAACTTGTGTGTTTAATGATATGGAGATAGTGTACTTCAAACAGTGAAAGAAAATTTAAAACAGTCCAGCACTGCAAAACAACTTTCTAATGTTTTAGCTTAGGGTTTTGTAAATTCCTTGACTTTTCTACAGTCATGGTATGTGTGGTTTAAGTTCTAAATATATAAAACCTGTTTAATGGAATCAGTAACCCTTGTAACAAAGAAGTATCTTCTATTCTAAAATGTCAAACTATTTTAAACATTAAACAAAACCAGGGAGAATAGAATCTATGCAGTCCATGTTTTGAAATATAAGACTCCATGTATTTTAACGGAAACAAAAGACAAATTTCTACCTTCCCTGAAGATTCATAAGTAGGAGCTCTAATTAGATCTCATCCAGTTAAAATGTAACAATTAATCCAAACTGCTTTCAAAAGGATCAGTGCATTGTGACGTGCATTATAAAGAGAAATAAATTATAGCTGTCAAGTGTCAGATTTTACTTCTGTTACTCACCCATCACTGAACTTTGAGACTCAGCATCTTATTTTAATATTTCTGAACAATGTGATTTTAATTGTTGTGATTAAGGGATTGCAGAAACGTGTCCCACGTGAAGACGACACTCAATGAAGTATTACCTCTGCTTTTAGAATTACATTTGATCGCGCTTGTAAATTCGCAGTGGATTTCCCATTAATTAGTGTGAATTAGATAGTTGTGGCTGTTCAGTTTAGGTTAATTCTAAGTGTTTTACAGTGCATCGCTAATTATTGATGGCGGGGGGTGGGTGGAACCCAACCCTTGTTAAACAGCCCGCAGGTGCGTTCACTCTGCTCCGTGGGTGTTCCTAGGGGCTGGCAGCTTCTCCGCGGTGCTGGCCTTGGATACTTGGATACTCCTGGCACCACCACGGGACCTCCTCGTCCCGCAGAGAGCGGCTCCTCCAAGGCCCAACACAGCGCAGAGAAACTCTGCTCAGTCCTTCCCTCCCCGAGGATCCCATCCCATTTTCCCGTTTGATTCGCCCTCGGGAGCTCTGCTTCCCAGACAGCGCGCCGCTCTTTTGTGCTCGGTGCGAGCCCGCGGCTGAGCTCCTTTTGACGGTGTCAGCGCCGGCCCGTAACGCGCCCGCCGCACCACGAGCCGTTCCCGCTATCCAAAGGGCTCAGCGTGCGCTGCTCCCGCCGGGGCGCGGGCCCGGGCAGGTGCCCAAACACAGGCACCGATCCCCGCTGTTGTATGTGCCACGGCTTGACAGACGGACACTCAGACCGCGTCCTTTGTTCCGCAGTCGGGACAGAGCTGCCTTCGCAGTCTCAGGCCGGGCAGGGATCTTTATCTCTGCTGCGCTGCGCCAGGTCCTGCCCAGGCACCGCCGCAGCGACGCGGGGGTTCCGGCTCGTAAAGGCGGGTCGTGGCGAGCCGCAAACACCCCAGTCCTCGCTTCTCCCCGGAGGAGAGGACAGGACAACCCCCGGAGAAGCCGCACTTCCCCCGGCACAGCGGCAGGGATCCTTACGGACACCCCTCGGCTCCCCTGGCAGCACCGGGGCGGAGCTCTGCCCGCCCCGCCCGGCGCCGCCGCGCCTGCGCCGCTCAAGGCGGGACACTGAGGAGTTCCGCGGCGGGCGGGCGGTCCCGGGCTGGGCGCTGCGGGACGGGCGGTGAGTTCGCTGCGGGGACGGGCTGGGCAGGCAGCGCGTTCCGCGGGGCGGGCGCTCCCTCGGCTCCTGCCGCGCTCAGACTGTGCCCGCGGCCGTCCCTGGGGCGGGCGGGCTGAGCCTCCCCGCTGCCGCCGCCCTGCTCCGAATCGGCCGCGTCCCGCAGCAGGAGCGACCCTGGGCGAGCCCGGCCTGGCCCCTCCCGGGGCTCCCTGGTGATCTGCCTCCGCGTCGGTACCGTGGTATTGCCTCATCGCCTAAAAATACCTCCTGGCGGGCGGGTTGGGCAGCGGCGGGAGGCGCGGAGCGTGTGCCCGGCCTGGCTCTCGGGGTGCGGGTGAGTTCAGGTGTCGCAGCCGCGGGGTTGTCCCGAAATAGGTTCTTTGACTTGCTGCGCATGAGGCTAATCCACACGCAGAGCCAAGGTACTTGATTTATTTGCGGTTCTGAGCCGAAAGAAGGGCTGCGTGGTAAATCCACAAAGCCAGCGCGGCTATCAAAACTTCTCACTCTTTATACATGTTAGCAAACATAGACTTTAATGTTCACTGGCTGCAAGTTTGCATAGTTCTCTTATTAGTGAGTATTCTGACTTTATTGGTTAAATTATTCCCTTACTTCTCATGTTAGGTAAGCTGCATGCTTGGTCTTCTTTTAGGTAGGTGGTTTTCTTTAGTTGGTGATCTATAAGTTGCTTGTCATGATTTGCCCTGCCAAAATTACCTTTTACTCACTTAGAAGTGATTTCAGCACAGTTGCTGAGCTGGCTTTATTAGTTTCGTCCTTATCATTCTGGAAGTTCTGCCCAACGTCCTTGTGGCCTGTAAATTGTGCGTTCTTTGTGTCCACCATCAGTGGCATATCCATCTTCCCAAGCTTTGTTTAGCCTCCTCCCCTTTAGGTCTGTGATCATTGAAGCATGTCAAATCCTAAACCTTAATAAGACAATTCTACAGCCAAGTAATTTATCTTTCTAACACCTGGACATCAAGGTTGTGGACAGGTTTCTTTCTGAGTGCACAGCTCCTTTAGCCAGCTGGAGAGGAAGCATGAATGCTGTGGTTTGTACCTGAGCACATCAGTCACGTTCAGGCCATTAGGTTTGATGCTCATCTTGCTATTAATTTGTACTTGCCATTTCTCCTTAGCCTCCCATCTCTCTATGGCACAGTACAGTGCAATTTTCAGCTGTAATTTCTGTTCTGTGCTGTGAGCAGCTCTCAACTGGAGAGTTTGTTCTGCCAAAGTTAGTAAAGGGTTAGCAGGCTTTAAGGGAGGGGGCTGCATGTGCTTCTGTAGGTATTTCTGCCCTTCACAGCAAGGAAAACCTCACAGATAGTTTCTGTTTTGCTTCTCTTGTGTTAAAATAGCTGGAAGTGTGAGCTCAGAAGTATTGACCATAAAATTATTTGCTAGTAAAAAATATGCCTATTGAGGGCTGCCTGTTTGGAAACCCTGGCTGTGAAAGGCCATGCTGGGTCAGTGGCCCATCTTGATGAGGCTGGAAACCCCTGGGGCTATGTGGGAATGGCCACGAGTATCCTAACCCAAATTAATAGATGTAGCTGTGGTGGGCTGCTGGCATTTGCAGCTTCTTCCCATGTTTTAAATTTAGGTTCTGGAGGTGGTAGTTCAGTTCTGAGGTGCTTTTTGCCACTGACGCAAGAATTACGTACCAAAATTCTTAACATTTTAAACAGCAGCTAGGGATGTCTGTCAGAAGTTGGTGGGAGGAGGTGGTTTGTGCTGGCTGGGTTGACATGCTGAGCTAAAGTGCTTGCAGTGCGTTCTGATGGCTATGTTCTAACAGCTTTTGGCCATAATAAACATCAATATGCTGTACAGGATGATTCTTCACGTAGAGAGAGATTAACGCAAACATTTCTTCAAAGTGTAATTGCTGTTGTACTTTAGAAGGAACAGCAGCTTTCACAGCTGACCAGTTTTGAATACTATTCATGCACATTTGAGGCCAGCCTAATGTAGCCAAAGAGCTAATTTGAAGAGCTGCTTCATTGTGTCTGTTTCTTTTTAACAGCTCTGATGACAAGTCACAGAGGATCAACAAAAGCAGATGGCAGGAGGTGGCTCTTGTTGCTTTGGGGAGTAGCATAGTGGAGTGAAAGATTAGAAGATAAGCACATTAACACAAACCACAAAGAATTACTTTGGGCTAAACACAAAAAAACCCCTGCATGCAGAGTGTTAAAACTGAATTTGAGAGAATTTTGAAAATATTACACTTTTTAAGCATTCCAGTTTCACTCTGCTCACTTGATCCTGAGGCTTCTTTTTTTCCCACATTCAATACAGAGTTTAAGAGCAACAAACAGATATGCATATAACATCATCATGTACCAGCACAGGCTTGCCTGATAGATGTGGGGCTCTGTCAGAACATTTGTGGGGAAAAAAAAAAAGACTATACCTCATCTTGTGTGACGTGTCAGAGGTGTGCAAAATATGTTTTGACTTAATGTGTAACAACAGCAGTTAAACTTAAGGTTGACTGTTGTAGGGGTTTTTTGGAGGCTTATATGTTTTTCTACAGCATGTATCTCACATGGATTTTAACTTTCAAGTTGAATACCAGTGTTCAAGTACCAAGAAGCATGAATTAGTACTGCATGTGGTCCGTTTGTTTTTGGTTTTTTGAGGTTTTTTTTTTTTTTTTTTTTTTTGTGCTGCAGTGGATGTTGTTTTCCCCTAAACTCCACATCTTGTTAAATTAGACCTCAAAATCATGTAAAATTCATATTAGTGGTGTTGTGCATACTGCTTTGTTCAGGAGTGTGATGGCTGTCACTGCTTAATTTGATGCCACACACAATGTCATAACTTAGTCCTGAACCTGCAAGGAGCAGACCATCATCTGTGTAACCATTGGTTGTCAGGGATAACTCTCTGAGCACAGTTGCAACCGAAAATTTCTGGTTTCCTGTGGGTTTTTCCAATTTTAGAGTGCTTTTATTTTTTAAGGGTGTTTTTGGGAGTTTCTGGCTTTTTTGCAACTTTCTGTGACTTTCTTCAGAGCATTCAAAAGTGACTGTAATGAGATCAGTGTGGGATTCTCCATTTCTTTTGACTCAGCAGACTAATCCTGTATCATATTTAGTACTTACAAATCCAGGATTTTCATGCCAGCTGACAGTAGGCCAGAAATGATAATTCAGAGTTTCTGAGTTCCACTGCAACAATATCTTGAGGTAAGGTAGGAAGGATAACCTGACAAATCTTGCCCCTTTTAAGTAATGTACAGTTAAGGTGAAGGTCACTGAAATGCCTGCAGTGGCAGTGCAGTTTTTCTGCAACCATCTCGTAATACTGTAAAATCAGGGAAGTTTAAGCCATGCCACTCAGGAATGTGATTTTTCTTCCTCCCTTCATAGAGGTATGGGCATGTATTTTCACATCACTCTGTTGTTATTGTGAAATTTATTTTGTACATTTATGAAAAAGTAACCTTGTTCCTGAACGTCTGGAACAGATGTGTGGTTCATGTGTCATTAAATTAGAAACTGCAGGAAAACAAAGAACCATCTGGAGACTTGGTGGGGTGCAAGGTTGAGGTTTCTGGTTAAATGTATTATCAACACAGGAAAAAATATAAAGAGTGCTTCAGCTACAAAAAGA